TTGACAAGAGTGTCCTTTAACCATTTTTTGGCTGCTGCTTGTGAAGAAATTTATTTGTCAACAGAGGGAAAATTTTCCTTTACAAAAAGAATCCTATTCTGCCATAGAAATATTTATCTCCTAATACTACTTCCTATTTTCAGTTCCACATTCCACCTATACCTTTAAAGACAGTTAAGTTTGTGGCACACCAAACTCCTAGTCTCATAATTTATTTTTTTTTAAATTAAAGGATGAATATTTCTTGATAGCAGTTCAGCCACCTTTTAGCATAATTCTTCAGTTCTCTTAGTGGTTTACTGTAACGGGACCACAAATCAGCCAAAGCCCTAAGGTGGATCTGTTTAGGTCTTTAGCTCTCAAAAAAAACCTCAAAAGGCTGTTAAAAGTCAAGATTAATTCTTTGATATAAAATCAGGGAATCACCTTTTAAAACAGAAAGATGAAAGCAAGCACTTAACACATGATGGGTTTTAAATATGATTTAAAAGCTTTTGTCCTACTGCATATTGCATCCTTGCAGGTGGGTCTGTGCTTTCACCTAACTCAGTGGCTCTGAGTGGTAGCAAAAGCTCCTGTTTTTTTCATACTATCTTTTTTCCTGTGCCAGCTCAGCTGGTCCTGAGGAGGAGATGGATGACGAAGGGAAGAAGCAGGATGAGGAAGGAGGCTTCCACCTCCTAACAGAGCCTTTTATTTCACCTAATCATTTCTTAAAGGAATATGATATGTAACTGAGAGCACACAAATAAAACAAATACCATCTGTCCCAGCCATGCATAATCAAATTGTTGCTTTTGCATTTGTTACATTTTTCATAGAATTTTGTCTACCCTTGAGATAAGAGCTAAAAGGAGATGGGCCTTGTGTTAATGGAAATGCATTTGATTTTACTGAGCTGACTAAATAAACCTGAAAGCACGGACACTGAATCATCTGGATTTGGTACCAGTCTCTAATGTTTCACTCAGAAACAACAAATAATTGGAGTTAAAAGCCACTACACTGAAAAGTTTGACAGTGGCATGGAAACCATCCTTATGGACCTTCTTAGCTACTTCCAAATGTATAATAAATGTGTAATAATGTGGTTTGGTATAGCCTACCATATGTACAATGAGTTTCAAATGTGCAATGGATAGTCATTGCAGCATGGCTGTTGTGTAGCAACTTGTTAAGCCACAGTTATTTACTTCCATGTCTTGAAAGAAAGAGAAAATAAATTTTCATCTGCAGAGGATTTCAGATTAGCATATCTGTCAAACGCAATTAGATGATCAAATTGTATATGGACCACTACAGTGTCACTCATTAGAAATTAACTTGTAAACTTGTCATGGTTTAGACCCAGCCAGGAGCTGAGCACCACATGGTCACTCTCTCACCCTCCTCACAATCCCTGAACAGAAAGGAGAAAAAGGAGAAAAATACAAAATCCCTTGGGTTGAGATAAGGAAAATTAATACAACAATGGAAAAAGTGCAACAAAAAACAGCAATAACAATAATAAAACAATATACAAGGCAAGTGATACCAAACAGAAATGGCTCCCTGACCCCAGACTGCCTGGTGAAACATATCTAGCCTGGCCCATCCCTGACCCTTACATTGTGGGCATGATATCAGTATGATATTGAATAATCTATTGGCTGGTTTGGTTGTCTGTCCTGCTTGTGCACTCTCCCAGCTTCTGGTGAAAATTAACCCTAACCTAGCTGATCCAAAAGAAAACTGAAATTAGTAGAAGGAAATCAAGAACACTGCCATACTGTGAAATGTGCTACAGAACTGGATTTTTTTTTCTGACAAGAAGTAGCAGTTTATCTTTAGTGCTGAGTATTAATTCTCATATATCTGAACTGTAAAGTAATTATAAAATGAAAATACAGAAAGAGGCATTTAAAACATCTGAAGGTGCTGAGGGAATTTTTTATGATTAACAACTGGGGAATAACTTTTGGATGGTCCTGTTTAAAGATGTTTGGCCTCCATTTTGCACAGATCTGCTTCCTGAATGAAACGTGTTCACTGACTTAAATTACAAGGATGATATTGCAAATTATAAACAAACCACACATTTTTCACTCTTGTTGGTAAAACAGAATTAACTCTAGGACAAGACAACTGCATATTTCAGTCCTCCTAGGTGAGATCAAAATACACGTTCTCTAAGCTCTGAGTACATAGCCAGTCAGACACAGTTATGCAAACTCCTGAGGATAACTACTCTAAAACTGAATTATTCCAGGTATGTTCCTTGCTTGTTTGTGAAAATAAGAAATTACTCCTTGCTCATAACAGCCTTCAGTAACCATCTCACTGTGTCACCTGAGCTCAAGTATTCTGGTCAATGAGTTCCACAGTGCTGACCCTGTCCTTTTATGATGGTTCACCAAGCAAAGAGAGGATATAGATAGAGGATAAAGAAAGACCAATACGTCAAGGCACAAAGCTAAGTAGTTAGAATAAACTTAAAAATTCATTTTACTTTTCTCAGTTTCTTTTTATTCCCTTGATGGTTACATAGTTAAGAACCGACCTACTCCCCAGTGCCTAAAAATACATTGTGTGTGGGAAGAGAAAAATAATCAAAAGAAAGCCTGTTAAGGTTATGCAGTTATCTAAAGTAGCCAGTGCACAGCATGGTTTCTGATCCAGTTGGAAAGTTGTTGCTGTTTCCCATTTGAAGCCATGAATATGTAGAGACACAGATTATTTGAATGTCTCTTCTTAAAACATTTTCCAGTGATTTTTTTTCCCCATTTTTCGAAGGACAAACAGATCAGAATGCAGCACAACATGCGAAGCAGCATTGGCTGTGCTCCTTAAATAAGCTCATCTTTTTATTTTTGGCATAAAAATGCTGTGGAACAAACATTTGAAGAACGATACTGCCTTTTCTTTATAAATTTGTGCAAGGTCTAGCATAATGGACTGACAACTGGAAGAAGCTTTAAGTGGTACTACAGTGCAAACAATAAGCAACAGAAACAATCAATCACTGGTTAAAAGCTAAAGTTCCCCATACTGCCTACTGAAATGTTTTAAACATTTCAAGACTGCCAGAGTTCTTTTTCATAAGTTCTTTGACACATCTCCAATACAAGGCTGTGCCTTACAGGGGCAAGTGTTTACAGTCCTGTCAATCTACCTATTAGCTGGACAGCAACAATATATATTTATTCTTCCACAGCAAGACTGATTTTCAGTACGGACATTCCAATAATTTCCCTGCTTTATTCTGCCATTTCTAAATGACCATATTTTCTAAATAATTCTAATGACTTTCTGAAGAACTGACTGACATACAGATGCAGGACGATGCTAACTGAAAATCTGAAAGAATGTATTGAAATCAGAAGTTTTGCTATCGAACAAACACGTATTTTGAAATTATTCAATAAACAACTACCTAATATTTTCCTGACATTATGAGAGTGCAGCTATAGAAAGATTATTGAATAAGGAAGACACTAAGCAAAGATGAAATGCTTAGAATATAGCTATTAGAACTATTTTTTTGTGTGGTTGAATATTTATTAAAATGCTACAATATTACAGAAGCATTTATGACTACTAGTAAGTGGAATTCAGTTGAAAAGAATCTTTATATTTCACACTTGTTATTATTTTATTATATTGCCTGGCAACTCTGCAGTGCTGAAAACAAAAGTTTGAAAAGTACATCTGAATAAAATTTTGAAACTGTCACACAGAACCAGGCAATAGTTGAGAGGACATGTTAGAGAGCAGTCCACTGGAAAAAGACTTGGGGGTACCAGTAAATGAGAAGCTGGACATGAGCCACCAATGTGCAGCAGCAGCCCAGAAGGTCAATCGAATTCTGGGCTGCATCAAAAGTAGCGTGGCCAGCAGATGGAGAGAGGTGATCCTGTCCCTCTACTCTGCCCTGGTGACACCTCACCTGGAGTCCTGTGTCCAGCTCTGGAGACCCCACCACAAGAAGGACATGGACCTGTTGGATCGTGTCCAGAGGAGAGCCACAAAAATGATTAAAGGTCTGGAGCACCTCTCCCACAAAGACAGGCTGAGAGAGTTGGGGTTGTTCAGCTTGGAGAAGAGGAGGCTCCGGGGAGACCTTATAGCAACCTTCCAGTATCTGAAAGGGGCCTACAAGAAGGCAGGGGAGGGTCTATTCACAAGGGTTTGTAGTGATAGGACAAGGGGTAATGGCTTTGAGCTAGAAAAGGGTAGATTTAGGTTAGATGTTAGGAAAAAGTTCTTCAATACGAAGGTGATAGATCACTGGAATGGGTTGCCCAGAGAGGTGGTGGAGGCCCCATCCCTGGAGATATCCAATGTCAGGCTTCATGAGGCTTTGAGTAGCTTGATCTAGCTGGAGATGTCCCTGCTTGTAGCACGGGGGTTGGACTAGATGACCTCTGAAGGTCCCTTCCAACCCAAACACTCTATGATTCTATGATGGATAAAACTAATGGAATAAACCATAAGCTTACATTATTTTGGCAACCAGTAGATTTTTTTCATTATTATTTCTTACCTGTCTATGCTGATTATTATCACAACATAATATGTATAAAGACATTTGGGGAGAATAAAATATTAGAAAAGATAATGTCAACAAAATTCAAATTTCTCAAGCTGTTAAGTATATCATTATTATCTTAAATAGTGTGCACTTCTAAATTACCACTTGAAATGCTCTATATCCTGGAAATGCTCTAACGTATATCTACAGTTCATAGTATTCTGGTGAGAATTTTCTGACTTTTATCTAGACTCTTAAACTTTGTATTTAGACCTTGAGATACAATTATGGAGAAGTCAAACTTTTAAAGCATACTGAGTGTGTTAAACCAGAGAGGAGATAAACCAGCAACAGAGATAATTTGGAGGAGAAGGAACAGCCCAGTCTGGATCGTGATAGAACCAGCAAGATTATATATCTATAGTACATACTTGCAATTTCTGCTTTTCAATAGGTCACAAGTGTGATAGAAGAAACTCCTATTTCTTACCTACATTTCCAGTCATTAGGTATGAATTCTGAAAGTCCATCATTCCCATTCCAACAATGTGTATAAAGTCTTCAATCACCTGCATTAACTCCACCGAGCCTGGATAGATCTAACAAAGGAAGGTCAGAAATGCCATTAACTATAATAGCAATACCTCTTCTGCAGCAAATTCAAATAAAATCTAAAGGCCATCAAATGAAATGTGAGACTTAACAATCAAAGAGTCCTTCCCACGTTTCAATATTGAGCATTTTCTGCCACTGTAAACCAACCATTTTGTCTTTACATCATCATGCATACAGACACTACTTCCCATAAAGCTATGTGACGTCAGCTGCGCACTGGAACTGTGGAATGATTGCGTTAAGTCACTGCACTTATATAAAAAAATAAAAAAAAAAAAATCACCAGCTATTACTTTAATTACTAGTTAAAGTATTACATTTTCCAGTATAAGTCTAATTAAAACAATCTTCCTTCCTCTGGAAGATATCTTCAATAACTTCAGAACTACTGACACAAAGAGCTGAATGCAAATATTACAGTGGCCACTCCAGCATGATAAAACATTGTTGCTTTCATCAATATTTAAGTAACATAAATTGTTATTGATATTACCATTTTCATTACTGATGTGGAGTAGTAAAGTCATAGAATAGCTGAGGTTGGAAGGAGTCTCTGGAAATCATGTAGTTCAACCCCCTTCTCAGAGCAAGATCAGCTCTAGCAGGTTGCCCAGGATCACATCCAGTTGGATTTTGAACATCTCCCAGGATGGAGAACTCAAAGCCTATCTGCACAACACGTTCTAGCATTCAGTCACTCTCACAGTGAAAAGAGTTTTCTTCTATTTAAATGTAATTTGCTGTATTTTAATTTTTACCCCTTGCTTCTTGTCTTGTCACTGGACACCACTAAGAAGAGTCTGGCTCATTCTTCTTTAGTCCCCATACTGAAGTATTTTTAATGTTTACAAGATCCCCACTGAGCTTTCTCTTTCCCAGGCAAAATAGCATCAATTCTTACAGCTTCTCCTTGCCTATCAGACAGTCCCCTAAACATCTTCACAGCTCTTCTCTGGGGTCATTCCATTACGTCCATGTCTTGTACTGGGAAGCACAGAACTGTACACAGTAAACTAAAACAAATTGCAGTAGCCTTTGCATTACTAATGTAGCCTCTCAATATGAGTTTCAAAATGTTAAGGACTAGAACATTTCCAAGAAATATAAATTATTTCCAAAGCTGCAAGCTACTATGGTCACAAAACCATTAAAAATCGTTATATTCAACAAGAATGACACATCATCGAAACTGCATTAAAGGTCAAACCCGTTATTAATAAGCTTAAAATTTCTGCTGATATCACATACATGCTAAATCATTTTTGGATGTCAAGGCCTGTTATGAACAAGACAATTTTCAGTAATACAGTATTTTGCAATAGGAAAAGAATGGGTGACCTGTTCACGATAGTTTTTTCTTTGTATCAGTTAGATGTCCGAATTTCACTTTATGAGCAACGTTCAACCCATTCTTTCTACTACTGGAACTACAGACTCCAAAAAAAATGCCAATAGAGACTATACATTCCAGCACACTGCACTCCATCTTCATCTTGCTTTTTCTGCCTAGATCCACAGCTGCTTGGTTCAGGATAGAGAACATCACAATGTGCTTTGTTTTCTACGTGTATCTTTTTACAAAAGGTAGGGCAGCAGTACCATTTTTGTGAAGAATTCATTACAACATTTATGACCCTAACAGGTTGCAAATGTTGCTTCAGGTGAAGGAAACTTAACTTCCATTTTCCTAATGAGTCATTGAGGTGGTAAGTGAGTTTTTTACATCCATCTTGTTCATACCACACACACTCCCAGACTGCGTGCTAAGGAAAAATTTCAGTGAAAAGGTTTTTTTCACCTTCATTCTTGCAGATAGAATTTTATAATAATATCTTCAGCAAAAGCTGTTGAACAGTCAATGTGACAGTGTGGCATACTTCATTTTTACATATCTGAAGTACTGGTTAATCAATAGGATGCCAGCAGATGATGATGAAGAACATGTAGAATAGCTCCTGTGTTTTGAAACAGCACTATAAACTAAAGCACTGTGGACTTAAGTGATTCCCTGTGTGCAGTGCTTTACTTCAGCTTGTAACAAAAGGCAAGTATTAAAGTGAGTGCTCCTTATCTGAATTCTATATTACCTGTAATTAATGGTACCAACTGCTGGCATTTAATCTAGAAGAAGGATGTGCTGAGGCATTGCAGCTCTATACTTGATAGATAGTTACCAATTTGCTGGCAAGAAAGAATCCAGAAAACTGGCTAAACTAAGCTAGATCTATGCTAACAGTAGCTGTGGAGTTCAAGAAAACCTTACAAAATGGGAAAAAAAAAAAAAAAGTTGATTAGACTGTCCCTTGTTTTGCTATGTTTCATTACCAAAAAAAATCAGCTGAATGAATGAACCAGAAACAGAATCACCTCTACTCTTTTTTAAAGAGTCTATAGCGTTTATGATAGATTGCATTCACAGTACATAATGATTTGAATGCATTCAATTACCTTGTTTTGACATAAAAACTAAAAATGTCTTCGCCCAAGATGTAGTCATTTCAAATAATGTTTCTGTTTTAAAATCCAGTTCTATTTAGCCATGAACATTTAATTTTTTTTTATCCAAAATATGATAGAAAAGAATATATTGTATAGGAAACCTTTTTTTTTTTCCAGTACTGAAGGAAAGAATGAATCTCAGGAGTACTTAAGAGTCCAAGCTCACCCTTGCTAGCTGATATGAAGAGCTACTTGCTTCAATAGTTTCTTTGAGATGGCTTGTGTAAGTGCCCGAGAACAGTTACAAGATCAGTGGTATGGTTTCTTCAGGTGCCATAACTCGTGAATCTAAGATTTAGTGAATTCCCTAGCTTGGTCACTGGGCAGCTATGGCCCTGCTACTCACGCATTCAGCTCATCTTGGTGCTTGCTTGGGTTCCTGCCTGCCTACCACTGTTGTACGCTGGTCTACGAGACAGTGAATTACCAGGAGTTACAGAAAAGTAGAAATAACTTGTCTCCTCTCCTCTTTTCAACACTGCTTCTTCTACCAGCAGCAATGAGAGAACTGGAGATTTGTTGTTCCCTCTTTTACGTCCATGTTCTGACCATATCCCCTCACGTGCTGTCATCCACTGATTTTTGTGGAACAGATGGTGGACACGGCATGGGCAAACAGGCAGAGTAGAGATAGAAGAAGACAAGGCTAATGACATAAGTTTTTTCATTAGTGAGGCTAAAATAGTTGCTTAATATTGGTTCCTTAACCTTGATGCTGTTTATGGAAACTGCCCACATGCATGTGATTTTGCTGCTTCCATCCAGTACCACTAAATAAAATGACATACATTGTCTATTTTTGTAGCTGGCTACAAAATAGATGACAGAGGAACAGAAAAACAGAAGAAAGATATGATTGCTGGCTAAATCACAATGGGTCAGCTGCAGCATCATGTCTGCTGCAAAGTTTGAATTGGTGGTAAAAAGTCCTGTTCTTCCCTTCCTTAGTCATATTATAAAGATGAACTTACAAAAATGAAGTTAAATAGCTTCAAAGACCTTCAAACACCTAGTAGTTTAATTAGAACCTCATTAAAAGTGAACAAATTTCATGTATCTGCATAACACAGTAGCAATGACCACACGAGAGCAGACATAAGATCTGTCTAAACCATTTTCTTGCCTTTGATAGTGGCAAATAGCAGATGTGTAAGGAAGAATATAAAGAGATATTCACATAGTGGTAATTCTTTTTGAATTCTTGTCCAGCCTTTAGCACGTTTTTGCCAATGCACTTCCTTAAGCAAAAATGGGATCTTCCCACAAACAGTCCTATACTGACTTCTCTTTCATTAATTTGTCTAATATTGTCATTAATATTGTCTCACTTAGGATCTCCTTTCATCTACAGCAGGGTGTATTTTTAACTGGATTTTTGAAACCATGCATTCCACTTTAGTTTCTGAAGTAACACGTGAATGCTGTAATACACATAACTTCCAAACTTTTACACATACCTTTTCTTTTAAACTGATGAGTTACAAATCTTACCTGTTGTGCATCTTCCCATTTCTCTTTGTTTTCTTCATCTAAGAGGTTACTAATGATTTGAAAGAAGTTCTGAAAAATCAGTTAAAAACAAAATTACTTTCAGTGACATAAACAGTCCTATCCTTAAGCTAACATTAAGAAAGTTTTCCTTTCTCTATTACAGATGCCGTTCTGTGGTATATTTTATATGAATGGAAGATATGAGAAAACAAAGTAATATATTAGGCTGATAAAAGGGCACATATATATTATGGTTTATTGGTCATTTCTGGCCATATAATCAGGATGCATTCTACTGCTCTGAATAAAATAAGAACTGCTTTAATATTGCTAAACTTCTAAATGTGATGGTGTACTATTTTCAAGTTGCTCTCATTCCAGAAAGTCCACAATTATATATTTTCAAATAAACAAAGTGCAATAAGAAACCACTAGGCTCAGGGTCACTAGTTTCTATTCAAAACATGAAAATAATCCTTAATGACTATAAATAGGGCAAACAATGGTATTTCATTGATAAATGCTGTGTGAAACCAGGTGCATCTTTTAAAATGTTACATTTGCCTCTGTCATTTTAGTCATTTCAATAGAAAAGGAATAATTATTTTCTGTTTATTTGACCTTAGACTGTTAATTTATTTGTGGAATTCTGCCATTCATTTAATTATAAGGAAAAAAAATAAAAGTCAGGGCATTTGAAAAATCACTTTCTTCCAAGTGTTTGTGGAGAACTTTCCTTTGCAATTTTGCCTGCTTTCTATCAATTCATATTCCTGTCTTCTTCATCTTTGAAAGTTAAGAATTCGTCCAGTCTGTTCTTCTAAGGTCTGTATCACTTTTTCTGCAGAAAGTCAATTTTGACTACAAACTGTCAATTATAATTTGTTGGTTCCTTCATAAAAGTTATATGTAGTTTCCACTGATCTTACCTGAAGAGTAGAGTTAAGATCCTCACAACTTCTAAAAAGCCTCTAGGTAGATTATGAACCACAGGACCCTATTGGAACTCAGATTAATAGTCATGCCCTCAACCACACTTACATTTTAGCCATTTTGGGGGGATAAATAGGGATTAAATAAAGTTTAAGTAAGAATTAACTTTAACTCACTATTTAGTGAAAGTATAAAGCATTCAATTGCGCAGTGACTGATATGAGAGCAGAAACAACTTCCAAGACTAGTGTACCTGGGGATACCATGGTTTTGCTAGAAAATTTCAAAATATGAGATATTGCAGACATTTTAGGCGTCTCACAGCCACAGAAGTAAAACACTGTAGAATACCAAATCAAATAAAACTTGTGGAAACTATTTTTACATTAAAACTATTTTAACATTAAAGACATTTTTACCAGTTTAATCTAGTCCTAACACTAACTAATTGACATTTAAGAGGATCCATCTTTGCCTCATAATTAGGAAGTTGGGCTAACCATAAAAATTACATGGATAAAAATTGCATTAACTTAGAAAATTTACTGTAGAGGTGCTTGACACTTTGGTTAACTTGAGCAAAATAACTCTTTACATTAATAAGGACATAATTCTCTCAGTGAAGTCAGTAGCAAAATATCCATAAGCTTCAGTAACACAAAACTTAAAAGAAAGTAAAATGGCTTAGCAAGCTCCTGTGAAAATGGCAAGTATGCACTGGGATAGGATAATGGAGATTAAAGACTGGACATAAAAGAAAATGTTCTCATGGTTTGATCCAATTTGCTGTTATACAGAAGGGAAATTTTCAGTCAAGCTGAAGATAAAAAGAGGAAAATGTAGCTCTACATTGCTTATATACCAAGAATACACTTCATCACTTTCACCTCTCCAGTAGTAAAATAAAGCATACTGTCAGTTACGTTTAGTATTCATTACAAAGGGTTTGCCAGTTTCACCAGGTTGGGAAATTGTAATTGTGTAAATACAACTTCAGCTAGGAAAAATGTGCGGATTTATTGGTCCCTCAAGTAAAATAAACTGTACTGGCCAAAGCAGTTTCATGGCACTATAACCACATCTACTCCACGACATTATGGTTTTGGCAAAGCGCTCTATTAGGCAGAGTCAGCCTTGGGGGGATTTTGCCTGATGAAAACACTTTTTAAAACTCTTCCAGTGTAATGCCGTGGAGATGCAGTAGAAAGAACTTTTAGCAAACTTTAAGTTGTTAGGTTGCCAGCAGTAGTGTAGCTGCAGCAGCACGGGGCTCAGCGTGGGATAATTTATCATACTAAGGAGCTGGTGCAAAGCTAGCTTTGCATTACACTGCAGTCACTGATTCCCCTGCAGAAACAGTATAAGCCTTAATTGCAAAAGTACCCATGTCCATGTAATGAGATCTATTTAAGAGTAGCTTAGATTTCCTGAAAATCACTCAGGAGGTATAAATGATGTAGTTTCGCTAATAATGTAATGTGCTCATTACATCTTAGGTTTATTTGAGTTACATAAAAGGTTTATAATGACCAATAAAAAATAGAAATTATATGTGAAAAATTTTATAAATAATCCTAGACACCACCACAAACAAAAGATGAGCAATAACTGATTTAATATGTATTTTGTACTTGCCAATAAACCATAAATGATGTACATGAACCTAGTGACAAAAGTATCTTGCTTCTGGAGATCTTTTTTCCCCCTCTGCTTCTATCTCTGGTTGATGTTGTATTTACAGTAGCAGTGGAGGCTGGGATGTATGAAGATTTTTCAGTCAGTAATACCAGTGCTTTGTGAATTAAACAGAGAGATATTTAAATAGCTTTGCTGCTTCAATAATGAATATATATGAGATATACTCCAGAAATGCGGCAGGGCAATAGGGGTTAAAAAAATATTTCACCTACTTTGACTATTCTCTTGTTCATTGCATTAATGCTGCAAGAAAGCAGCCCTTCGGTGAAATGATTGACAGCTATGAAGGCTAAATTTTAGAAGCATTATGGATGTGATCTGATGGTATTACTGCAGTAAACACTGGGTCTCCTTGTAGAATCAGCTCCTTCCTTTCATGGTTTATGTATTACTGAACTGGGCACCATAGAAAATGGTGTGACAGCCAGAGTAAAATTTTGAAGTCCTTTATTCTTGGCCAGGCTTTCCTGAGGATAATGCCAGTTACAGGCAGGAATGGACAATTATGTTTTCCTAATTTAATTTCCTTCCTTTCAGTCTTTTTCTTCTGCAATACAATGGCTGCTGTTCTCTGTTCCAGTCCAAGTTCTTTGACCCCTCTGCAGGAATAAAGCTGTCATAAATCCTTTTAAACAGCTAGAGAGGAATTCTTCCCTAGGAGGAATTAATGGATAGCCTTAAGTCACCTCCACTTTTGGACTTCAACATAGGAGGCGTGCGTGTGGGAGGGGGAAGGTCAGGAGAAAAAAAGCACTGGGCAATCCTGTTAATCCCTAACTGACAGCAATGGTCCCTGTGGCTAATATAAATGGGATTATACTGCTCTAATTTCTTTGGGGAGAAACCTTGTATCCTGTTGGTCGCTGGATCAGGGGATTATATAATTCACTTTGACCACTTCTGGAAAGTTCCCCAAATATTGCTTACGTTATGTTTATTTAAAATTTTAATTGTCTTCCAGGTAGCATCCTTCTTACATAAGTAATAGCATAGTGTCCATCTTAAGCCTCAGTGTACCTACACAATGTATTTTAAAATAATTCCCATGTTAACAGAAAGACCTCTGCTTGTAGAAGAACTGCATGATTCTTGTCATCTGCTGTTTCTGCTACTGTACTGCTGTACTTTCAGTCACTCATGCAGCATACCTTCCATATTGTTTAACTGCCTCATACATGGCTATTTTTCTTCCTGACACTGTGTATGCATTATATACACAAATATTGTTGCAAAAAAAAGGTTAAAATATGCAAAAAGAAAACCAGTCATATAACAAATAACTTAGAAGTAGACATGCATACTTTAGAAGCTTAGTTTTCCTCTTGGCATTTGTCTACCTAAACATGTTGCATTTTCAATGCAGCATATCAGGTGGTGGCATCTTTGTTTTGAGTAATTACCTTGAAATTTTCAGATTCAATCGCACTTTTCTGTTCATTCTTTTTGTTATGGATTCTCCGAATCACAGCTTTTGCACTATTCATGAATTTTAATACTAGATATAAGTCAGAGATTGTAGACAGTAGAGGAACTATCCAGATGGATGGAACATATAAAAAATAAACATACTCAGACGTATATACTTTTCCTTTCCCAGTTTTTCAGGAGGTGGAAGTGTTGGTTTTGTATGGACCTTTAAAAATACCCATAATTCACAAACTACTTCTCCGACACCATGCAAAATGATCAGTTATGACTTTCAGGGATTTTAAACATCACTCATGCTTTTCTGCATTTCTTTAAGACAATTTCTTTAAGACAAAACCCTAACATATCAGAAAGTCTCTCTTTACCTAGTGCAAAAAATAGAATGGAATTAGAACATCACACAGAGCTTCCTCAGAAAGAAGAATGTTGATATATGTCTGCAAATCAGTTTAATTTTATTTTTTTTTCTCACTTTCATGATGGACTAGAAAGTATGAAACTATCTGATAGCAAAAAAAAAAAATTAGGTGGCCTACGACATATGTTTACATATGGGAAAATCCTGTTTTTTCAGAAATTGACATTAAAATTCTAAACTGATGTTGGTGAGCCAGGATTTCAGTTTATATCATCATAAGTCAGTAACGTGAACACGGCTTAATATATCCCCTGTGCAAGACATGCTTCATTCCGACTTCACATACTTGCCTGAACACTATGCATTCATTTTTGGGTTTTGCCTTAGCTTTCAATTTGTTAAACTTTAAAAAATTTGTTAAAAATTTGTTTAAATTTGTTAAATTTGTTTTAAATTAAAAAAAAAATGGTTTTTTTTTCTTTTTTTTGTGTGTGTTTCAGTGCCTTTTTTTTTCATTGATATCTAAGGCCTTTTAGAATTTAAGCATCTAAATCCTGAAATACAAATATTTGTTTTTATTGCTTTAAAATTCTTCCTTATTTCCTTCATAACATGGTTTTCCAGGTTTTCCCTTCTTATTTCTTCACTTCAAAATGATTAATCAAAAATTGCTAAAATAGTACTAATCACTTTACCAAGAGTGCCAGAATACTACTACATATTTTGGAAACAGCTCTACATTGCTGAAAGGAACAGAAACCTTGTCACAGTCACTAGTGGGAAAAGAATCAAATCCTCTCTCATGTATGTAAAGTGCAGATGACCTGATCTGTCGCACTCATCAACAAAATCACTTGTGCCAAGCAGTTTCTCAAGGTTGATTCTACCACTGACTTCTGTAGTGCCTGTGAAACATGAAGAAGTCACATTGGGCTGTCTGACTGTTAAAGGCATACATATATTCCAAAGTGTATTTATAATGTATGCTTACCTTTACACAACTATGTACGTGTGACCATTAACAGATTCTTTATTAATTTATGAATGATCATGAAACTTTCTTTTTCATAAATAATATATACATCTACCTTCTTAGCATTCTTTTTCAGTCTTTTTCTTCTAGTCTTTGAAAAGTGTCTAAAGTTCTCAGACACACATGAAACTAATATCTTGATCTGGAAGTCCTGTGAAATACTTATTTTAAATGAACATTACACAATGATCTGTGCAGCCCAATATGTAGAAATAATTACAGTGGATTTATTTCTGATAGTATTTTAATTGGCTTCTTGCACAAGAAGAGTTAATCTAATATGGGAAATAGGAAACTAATATCCAATGTAATACCCATCAATCCTGTGCACTTTGACTGAGCTTTATTTATTTGAACTCAAGAAGTAACGCTAGAATTGTGCAACTAAACACTGTGGATGTTTGAACTGAAATAACTAGAACAAACAACATCAGTGAATTGCTTCCTGAAAAAAAATACCAACACATCCCTATCAACCAAACCAAACCATGAAAGAGAAATATACTGTAAATATTACAAAGAAACGGATTTGCATTTTTCACTTTATCCATTGTTTTGGATATTTTTCTCATTAAATGTGGCTGACTCTTTTTCCTATTTTAGAGTTGTATCTTAAGTTTTTTGTGAACAATGTTTATGTCTATCATTCAGAAGATTTAGTTTCCTCAGTGGGTAAAATAGGAGACATGAAGTATGCTGACATAAACTGCATCAACCAAAAAATTACCTTACAATATTTCTCTTACCTGCACCCCATCAGATGCAGGGATATAACTTGCTCTTTTAAATGTGTCTGTAACATTCCTGAGAATTTCCACAGAAATAAGAAGGTCTCCTGCATAAAAGTTCTTCCTCTGAGTTAAATCCAATAGTGTCTTGGTTACTTGGGACATGCCATCACCAGCCAACATCCTCTGTCCCTTGGCGAGATGCTCTTTAATCTGCATTAGAAGAACAAAATAAGTATCAGAACCTACTTTACTGAGAAAAAAGCAAGATACATTCTAAACACAGCCAAAAATATTAAAGCCATTTTAGTAAGAAATAATAAAGCTATTATAACAAAGTTCATCCTGTTAAAAGAAAAGGCAAAATAGTAGTCTATGATGACAGAACTATTATGTTTGTCAGAGAATCATGGATTTTATACTGAAAGGTTCTGAAAGTGTAATACTTCACACATTTTCTTCTCTTTGGACACCAATAATTTCTTAACATCCATGCTCTCAAAGAGACTCCTTGGGCTGGTCTGTGCTTTTTATCTGCCATGATGTAGCAATAAACTGGTCTTCCTCAGAGGAACAGTTCTACAGCCACAGTTTCCACTCATTAATCAATAAAGAGCTCTGCAAAGAGTAAATGCTAAGGCAGTCCTTGTTATAAACTAGTTTATTATAGGGAAGCACACCTTTAATCTTTGCCACCCAAGCTTGGCTAATCAATAAAGTGTGATGGTTTAGGTGGAAGCTGATTATGGTGCTCTCTTCCATAGTGCTAACAACACAAAGGTGCTAAATTGGAACAATCTTGATTGTTTTTTCAAGAAATGCAAATTAAATTATTAATTGCTCCTGTGCATCAACCAAGAGAGCGTAACGTAGCGGTAACTCTTCCAGCAGATCTGTACGGGGCCACTGATAAAGGTAAGTCAAAATGCAGACACTGATAGAAGAATCCTTCTGATAAGGAGCTGAATTTGTGGATCTGTTTAATTCTTAAAGCTGACTCAGCATCTCAGGAAGATGCACAGTGTATCACAAAGATGTCAGAAGGCCAGCCAAGGCTGAAAAAGAGTGCATGGTTTATAGAACCTATTTTTAAATATGCATATGAGTCTCTGTATACAAACCCAAGTTCTTTTAGATTGAAGTTATATTAAAGTAAAGATAAATGAGCTGATATAGACCTCATTCTAAGCAGGAAGGCTGAAGAGAAAAATCTTTGAACTGGCAGCCAAAATGCTGACAGCATTTCTGTAAATGCATCCTCAATTGCTTTATAACTTGGCCTTGTTACTAATTTAACATAATTAAGTGGTGAA